AAAGGAAAGGCTGTGAAAACCAGGCTACCGTCCAAGAGATGGCTCCATAAAAGCAGCAGCAACAAACGGGTAAAAAAAAAGGAGGTATGGACGCAAGCAAACACACAAGCTACTGTAAACAAAGGCGCACACTAATTTGCACAAGTTCACCAAGTCCTCATCGCTGCAAACTCTTAAACAGTTGTGAACCCTCTCCTGCAATCTTAGACGCACTGTTGAAATCTGGGCCAAAAGAGCATAAAGTAAGTCAGGTTTAACAATCGGTAATGCAAGGCCAGGTTTAAGGCAAAACTTGGAAAACAACATTCATGTTATATCTTGTTTTTCCCCCATGGTCATGGAGTTTAGCTTTGTCTGGAGAGTGTGAGGGAGGTTGCATTCACGGGATGGGCTGTTAAACCTGGAGTTGTCCTTCCTCTACAATACAGCCCTCCTTTTTTATTACACCCAATAAACCCAGCAGCTTATTTTTGCCCTGTTTTGATATAAACACCAACTCACCTCCATACCACCACCCTCGGTATATTACTTAACAGGGAGTTATTAAAAGCACTTTTACACAGAACTGATAAAGTTGTTTTGTTAGGTAAAACCACAGGTTTGCAGCGAGTATGCAAAAAATGTGCACTGTGGGATATTTGACATAATTTAGCAAACATGTAAGATACAGTATACTAAGTTGGTTTAGTAACTACGTTAAGCTCAGACTGTGCTGTCTCCTCTCGGTCACTAAACCTTCTCCACAGACTAGTTAAGCCCAGCCATGCTGCTGGGCAGTATGTCATCTACAGTAATAAAAGAGCATGTAAATATATTAAAAATTTCCAGGATGCAAAACTAATAATAATATCACTTGTCTTATTATAGCTATTGATTGGTTATTAAAATATTATTGTGCAGTACACACAGGAATGGCCATTTTTATTGCAGTTATAGTACTGCGCAAAAGTCTTAGGCCACCATTAGTGTGTTAGCAAGGTTGTAATGATCATTTATATTTATTTCTGTCTCTTTATTAAGATACCATATAACTAGAAAATACAAAAAATATGTGCATGATATAAAGAAATTTCAGAACAAAATTGCTTCCTCAGTCCAAAATCAATATTTAGAGTGGCCTCCCTTTAAAAGTTTATTTAACAGGGATGGTGTACATTAGTAAATATCACTGTAAATACACCAGAATTAGCCAAAAGGCTGATTTTCATCTGTAGTCCCTGGATAGATGTTTCCAGAGTTGCACTTAAAAATCTTTGCACTTAGCACAGCTTGAATTTTTTTGGGGAGACGGTCTTGAAGTCTTGAAACTATGACAGAGCCTCTGCCATGTTTCACTGAAGGTTGCTACACTCAGTCTTCTACATTCTCTCCAACTATTCTCCTCACATGTTGACTATTGGACCTGAGCATTTCAGACTTCGACTCACCACTCTGTAACACACGTCCCCTGATTCTCACTCCAATCTTTGCGAGCTTTTGCACATCTCAGCCTTTTCTCCCTGTCCCCCTTCTGAAAAAGTGGCTTTGTGGCTGCTGTCCTTCCACATAAAGGCCGTTCCTGATCGAGCTTCTTCTGCCTGTGGAAGGATCAGCTTGGCTTCCAGATGCTGAACCAGGTCCTTGCTGGATTTTTTCTGGTCTCTCAAAGAAGAAACTCTGAGAAACTTCTCATCAGATTTTGACAGTTGTCATGGTCTTCCACGCCAGTTTTCATCCTCAATCTCTCTGGATTCTTCATGTTTCTTTAGAACAGCCTGAATACCACATCTGGAGTATCCAGTTTGTTTGCTGGTTTCTTCTTCTTTTGTAATACTGTAAACATATTTCCTATATTTTTTAGTTGAACTCTGATAAATAAATATTACTAAAACAACCAATCTAATGGTGGCTTTTGCACAGTACTATATTCATAAAGCAGACCACACACACTGACTGGACTTGAATTTCCAGGTTCACTGAGGTTGTTTCAGCTTCACAGTGTAGTTTCGGTTTCACCAGTGCTGAGAAAGTGACAGTGTGAGAGAGAGACATCCAGACGCTCTGTCAAGTGGCTCCGCCAGCAAGTATTTCACAGATTAACAAGTAGTGATACTAGTGCAGGTACAACAAAAATACTCCAAGATACACAACAACCAAGACATCCTCTAAAACTAGGATGTTTTATCTCATTACTCCTGTCTCTTTATCAGCTATTGGCAGTGACAGCAGTTCTCCTGCTATGATATGATGGTCAATTGTTAAACCAGCTTTGAAGAAACCCTTTAAGGAGAAGAGGGTGCCAGAGAAAAAGCTGATTATCACTGACTGAAGAGGACCACACTTCCCTCCCAGGCCTAAACACCAAGATACAAAGTGTTACAGGGAGCTGATCTCAAATCCAACTTCATCTCTGCACTCTACTTTTAGTGCTCCCCACTTGTAACCGCCCGTCCCTCTACACACTGCCTAATCTCTTAATTGACCTTTTGTAATTGTAATTGATTCATTAAAAGCTTTTGGTTACACAACACAAGGCCTTTATAAGTGAGCCATGTGTGAGCAAAAAACACACAGTACTGCTGGGAGACACACACACACACACACACACACAGATAAGCAGGATTTGGAAAGAAGATCAAGTTTAGAAAATCTTTCGTAGAGGAGGAAAACAAAAGTCACTTAGAGGAGAAACTCTTCCCCCTCTGCACAACAGGCAGCGTGACAGAGAGCACATCATTTACTTGTGTGTATGTGAATACTTGAAGTTATTACAGTCAGCATGTGCAGTACATTAATCAATTAAATCCAAAATACTGTCCAAAGCAACATGTACAGGCACACACACACACACACACACACACACACACACACACACTCAGAGAAACAGAGGCCAAAATGCTCCTTGGAATCTAGAGCTGCGGCGTCCTACTGAATGTGCTCATTGAAAACAATCATGACAAAGCAAACCATTCATTTTTGTTCACCTTCCAATGACAGCTGGTGATCAGCTACTCAACAGTGTATGCTTTAATAGCATCCAGTATTCTATAATATTGTGTAGTATTTGTCACAAGGACTGAAAAAAAAAAAGTGGTGTCGATTGTATTTGTTTGATTTTTTTTTAACAGTGACTGTGGTTAAGACTCAAGAGTTTAACCATTTTCTATTTGTATTGTCCCTTACTTCAAATGACATATATTTTAAAATACTGGAATAAATAAAACGAACAATTTCCATATTAAATCCAGCTTTAAAAATACTACCAGCAAATGGAGAACAAAATAAAACCCAGAGTGTGATCAGTAACAAAAAAATAAACTACAAATCAAATGAACTAATGCAGCTGTGTTAACACTATTTTCTCAATTACCAGATTAGTTGCTTGCTTGGAAAAATACCCAGAACCCAAGGTGATGTCTTCAAATGCCTTTTTGCAACCAAACCACAAATGGTTCAGTTTATAATGATATAAAACAGGGAACAGCTACTAATCACCAACCTGGTGAAACTGCAGCCAAAGAAAAGGTGGAGTGACCAATCAGTGACATAAACAATCAACGGATTAAGAAAATAGTTGGCATTTATTTTTCTGTCAACTGACCAATCAGTTATTTAGTGGGGTTTTCAGTCTGCCAACTAGTCTTATGTTTAAAAAAGACCATTGCCAAAATGTAAAGGTAAGAGTGTCAAAGGTGAGTAACACCACTTTGTATGTTACTGTCCATAAATGTTAAAGGTTAATTAATTAAATGTTAATTAATAGACAAAGAGGATTGAATCACCCCCAAAATTCCCTTTGATAGGTTATAAAAAATATAGACCTGCAAGCCTCACAGCAAAAAAAAAAAAGAAACAAAACTGAATTTTACCTAAAGAGACCATGATTAATGAAAATGTGTGGACATTTGTCTTTCATGGTGGCATCTGGCGAAGCTCCTGAGCGAGTTGAAACAGGCCCTGCTGTGGTGTTTGTCATCCTGACTGATCATCCATCATCATTAGTGAGTACTGTGGACATGTCAGCGCTTGATTGCCCTGGTATCTAAATAATTACTGAAGATAAATAGACCCACGGCGCTCAGTAGAGACATCTCAAAGTTTCTGAATGAAGTGGAAAGACTGAATTTTGAAAATAACAATTGTGCGTTCAGCTCGGTGACACATATTATTTTTTTTTTTTTTTTTTTTACCAGATAATCTTTTCTCATTTACCTCTGCAGTGTGTGTCTGTGTGGAGGTTGGGGTTTTATTTCCACTGTATCTTATCTACCTGATGCAATCTGATCCTGTTCTACTCAAGTCCTCTGAGGAGCTGTCAAAAATATATCTAGCCTGTGGAGTTGGGACATAGGGAGTGCACATATGTAAAGTGATGCATACTTAAACATTGAATCATCAACTTGTTCTTACAGTTAACTTTTCTTTAGAAAAATGGCTAACATCAAGCTTTGAGTAACTTCCTCTAATTGCATAAACACCAACACAAATTAAATCGATGTATAGTAACAAAATACTCATCTAGTAAAATTATTCACTCTATACTGTCATTTATTTTTTTGTATACATCTGCTCCCAACTACCTAACTCTATGTCTCAGTATATTGGAAGAATCACAGTCATGTGATCTCAAGGCCCATTTGCTTTTAATCTGTCAGCGCAGTTTCTGTTTGGACGGTGTTGTTTTCTGCACACATTGTCAGGTCAGGTCCCACAATGTTTGAAAGAGCTGTCAATCATGTGAAGTCATTCATAAAGAAAACAAACACTGTGGTGTATAAATATGCATTCCCCAGCTCACTCACTCATAGTCACAAAAGCACTCTAAGAGCATAAACAAACAAACTGCAGGGTGAGAAAGGGTACAGAGAATCCAAAGGAATCTGACTCTTCCTGTGGAGAGAGCTCTGTGATAACAAAACCAGAACTCTGATAAGAACACACACACACACACACACACACACACACACACACACACACAGAGCTGCTCTCTTACAGTCTCATGTACAGGATAGAGTACTCACACTGAACGCTGCCTGTCCCAGTCCCGGTCCAGGCAAAGTGGTCCAGACCGGAGAAATAAGGAGTGGCCTTCCCCAGCATGCAGGAGCCTTGTCCCGACACATCAAAGAGGGGCCGCGGGGCCAGCCCCAGAGCCTCCATGCAGTCAAACATGCTCCTCTCAAATCACAGCAACACAACTGCAGCTCAGCTAAGAGACTGTGACTGTAAAATCACAGAGACAGCTTCCTGTTATTCAAGGTAACTTAATGCCCTGCTCGGTCCAGGTGTTCCTTGTCTGGCTGTCTTTGCCCCTTGCAGTTGCCCTCTTAACTGCCTCTCCTGTCTCCTTCAAACTAAGTCTTCCAGATTAACAAAATCCCTTTCTTCCTACTCTTCTTTATTTGCCTTATCACTGTCCTATAGCCCACACTACTTTCCCCCCTCTCTGTTCCCAGATCACTTGCTCACCAGTCTGCTTTGCTTTGCCTGCTGTAACTGATCTGAGCTCCACTCTCGGTGGCTCCCTGGGCCTCTCACACTCCACCACAGACACAGCCAACTATCTGCATGCTCTCCCAGTAGAGAAGAAGGGGGTGGGGACGAGGAAGAAGAAGAGGGAGGGACATACATCCTGGGGCGGTGTGCACCTGCTTGCTGATTGGCTATGTAACAAACATTCTCCCCTTCCCCTCTTCTTCATTTTTTCCAACCCGTTTCTTCATATTTCATATTCTGCAAATGAAAACAAAACACTCCTCGCCTTCCCTGCACCCCCCCTCCCATGTCTCCTTCTTTCTTTTTTGTTTTTCAGCATTAACTTTCTTTTTGTTCTGTCACAGCAGAGAATATTGCTTCCCTCCTCCGCCAACTTTGGCAAAAAAAAAACCTCAGACCTCACAGAGTCTGAAGTGAAAATGAAAGGTGTTGAGAGAGAAGCAATTTGTAAGGGTGTAAGTTGTTAATTTTCCCAGCATTTACTGTGAGTGGATGCTCTCCTGTGGTTTCTGTACAGGAAAGGTGGCTCTCTGACATTAAGCAAAACAAAGAAGGGAGAGTACTGCTTTCTTTTACAGGTGCATTATTCCCCAGTTAAAAATTTCCTGGGGAAAAAACATGTAATTTGTTATTATTAGAAGTTATTTAAAAGAGGAAATATTCCAGGCTCTATTTTACGATTCATTTATTATTGCCGACTTTATGCCGTATGTATATTGAATTATTGACTTGTTTGTATGTATTGGTTATAGTATGTAGACAAATTTCAAATGTTTTTTTACCTGACCTGCTATGTACTGGCACCTGAGAGTAAGTGTGCCAACTAAACAAAGTCTGTATTTATCTATATTGGTACATGAGCAGATTAGGGCCACTCTAAAAAAATATTTTTCAGATCTGATTTTTTTTTTCTCAGAAATCTGGCTTTAAAACTGACTTTTTAAAAAAGTCAGAATTCTGAGAAAGAAAAATCAGAACTCAAATACATATTTAACAGTGGCCCCAATCCTCTTCTGTAATATTAGTGCCCAGATTACAGTAAATAAAATAAAGAAAGTAAAGTAAAGTGTTACAGAAGAGAGAACTTTAAATTTAAAAGCACAAATACCAGACAAATCCTTTATTCAAAACAAAAAAAAACAAAAACAAAAAATAATTCATACCGCATCTAGGGTCACCACCTGGACTGGATCCTCCTAATTTGGTTAATTATTACATATCTTACATTTCTCTCATTGGTTTCCGTCCACACATCATCTTTGTTCTTAGCCATCCATCCATTTCTATCACATGAAGTTTTACTTGGCTCTTAAGGTTTTTCTCCCTCTATTCCATTTGGTCTTGGTGCGTGTAGCTATCTAATTCAATTCCTTCAATTCGGTTCAGATGGATTCTGTTATCTTCCCTCCTGCAGCTTATTGGATATTTCAGTCACACTGAAGTGCGACTCTGCTGCAGGCAAACCGCATTGGTCTGGGAGTCTGGAGAGTTTGTGTACTAGACAGCCTCACCCTCCTCCCTCTCCTCCTCCCTTTCCTTCCCTCGTTCAAGAGGGATGAACTCTGGAAGAAACCCCCACTGGGGCTCTAACACCATCCCTGCTCAGACACATATACACTGACTTCCCAACTTGTCCTGCCTGTGGCTTCATAAACTTCAGACTGCTTTTGTCTATTACAGATTTTTCTCCTTTTGTTTGTTTGTATATATTCCTCCCAGTTGCCTGAATCCATATACACATTATTGAAAAATAATAGGAAACATGCTTTTTGTTGTTTCTTTTCCTGCAAGCACTTTTTTAGAAATCCCTTCTTCTTTGTCTTAGTGAGCAGAGATTTATGTTTGTCGTCATGATGTCCAGGCACACACACGCAGACACTACAGTGACACACGGTAGGGAGCAGAGCTGCCCAGTATCAGCCTGCTGAGCTTTCTCCACACCTTGAGACAATTACCCACCCTGCCCCCTTGTTGTTGCTTCGGGGAAAGAGATACACAAATGCACAGGAAATGTGAAGAAGGAAAAAATGTTGTCTGATTTTCCTTCACTTTTAACAAAACACACGCTCACTCCCACTCTTGTAGTTGGACAAATTGCAGCTTTCTGCCTTTGAAACTTAAAACACTGGACTTCCCAGCCAGCCGTGTCCCTTTCTCCTTCACACACACACAAACACACACACACGCAACTTGTAAAAGGAGCGAGTCACATTACAACTATTTACAATCAAGTTCTTCAGCTATTCATCTCGTCGTCATGTCTGACACAAACACATAGAGTCGAACAATGGCCTCTCTCTCTTTCTCTGTCTCCGTCTCTAGCAGCAGCTCCTCCAGCTCGGCCACAGATATTTGCACAAAGTCTCACTGCGGTCATCAGCAAGCAACAAATACAGTCACAAATGTGAGGAAAGTAGTGTGAGAGCACTGGGTTGTGATATTCATGGGTGCTGGAATGTGCTGCCTACAGAGTGGTAGTGGAAACGTGTGTTTCTGTGTGTGGAGAGATGCACAGACAATTGTGTGTATGCGCTTAAATAGAGTGCCCGTGATGACAGACACAAAGAAAAACACACAAGCCTCTCTCTGTGCCTTTAGGTTCAAGTTACTAATATCACACACAGGCATGCACACACACACACACACACACACACACACTCAAAACATTGCAAAGAACAAGATGTGACATAGAAATTAGGAAAAGACACTGTGTTCATTGTGTTCATAGTGGAAAAATACACTTCTGTTCCTTGTGACATCAGATTTTTGCATTTTTATATAGTCATAAAAATGTCAAAAGACTTTGTTTCCAAAAGAAAGAAAACAGAAAAATATCACCTTATTCTAGAGAAAATCTAGAGATTGTATCAGTAATTTACTCAGTAATTCCTGGCGGCACCGGGCAGAAAAGCTTTAGCCAGAAAGAGCTCCTTGTGTTTTTGTTCTAATTCCCACTGCTGTTAGGAAAAGAAGAGAGAACTTACTGCATGACTGAATACACAGCAGGGGGCTTTGATATAGATATCTGCTAATTTCCAAAGATGTTTTGAGTTTCTTTTCATCATTGTTGCTTCTTTTCAAAGTCCAGTCCACCTTTTGTCACTCTTCAGTAAGTTTTTTTTTTTTAGATAAAATGTCTCAAGTGTGATTATTTATTTCATTTATCTTAAACACAACTCCATCTTGCCTCTCTACAGAATATCACACATGCATACACTCCATATGACAACTGAAAACACTGCGTGACGTTTCAGAGATAAACAGATATTAATCACATTAATCACTTTGTAGTCTCATTATTTTAA